TTATCTATTAAATTTGTTATATTAAAAGGAGAAGTGTATATAAGGAATATAATAGTTTTAACGAATAGAGATTTGTTATTTATAGAACTAAGTTGTAATGATTCAATATTATCTATTATTTGATATATCTATTTATGATTCTTTGAAGACTTCTATAAGCGATTTGTTGTAAAGATTACTAGTCTTATCTTTCTAATAGATTTCTCTTTTATTAATATTTACTCGAATTATTACCTTGTTACTCAGCTTCAGATTTTCGATTTCTTTGATGATAATATTTATAATTACAACTTTTATATATTTGATTATAGTTTATTCGATAATATAAAATCATTCTTTTCCTCTTAATTGTATTCTTACTTGTTAAAACTATTTTTTATAATTAGTTTGGTCAAACTTAGGAATTCGAAAGAATTCATTTTTTTTATCTATCTTATAAATAGATTTCAATAATGACCAAAAAGTGATTATTTATTGATAGTTGTATAATTCGTTTTGTTCTACTAATAGTGAAAATTGGCTTATATAATTATCTTACTTTGCTAATATATAATATATTACTATATAAAATATTTCGCTTTGTAATCTTTCTATAATAATAATGCGATTCCTTTTCGCTTTCGCTTATTAATATTACAATTTATCTTTCGCTATATAATCTTTCTTTTAGTAGTAATATAATTCTTTTACTTTATTTGATTATTAACTACTTTTATAAACCGAAACTTATAATTTATTAGAAAGTGATGCCCTATAATATAATGGAAGTAGCAATATTATTGACTATCTATAGAAAGGAATATTAATAAAGTTAAACTCTCTTTCTACGCAAGATTATCATTTTAGTAGGGAAACCGCTTAGCGCCTCTACCAGTCACGTGCTTAATACACGTGACTTCCTTTAACCTCAACTTCCAACATCGTCTACAAAATGAAAACCTTGATTTTTAAACTTTAATAACTTTTTATGTAAAATTATGAAAAACCTGAAAAACTATAATTGAGCTAATAACTATATATAGAATCTATGTTCAAAATTTCATTTAATTAGATTCAATATTGATAGAATTGTGAATATTCGAAAATCACTGTTTTTGGTGTGAAAGGGTGGCCCGAAAGTAGGGTAGTAGACTTAAACGAAAGTTTCCAAATTAAATGAGAAGCAAAATTTGTGGTTGAGTCTACAGAACTCACCTCGATGGTTGATGTGAAGAAGGCATTTCGCAGCTTGGGAAGCTTGGGGGGAGGGGGGTGGGGTTCTATAGAGGACATCGAATTCACAAGCAATACAGGACGCTCTTGTTTGCTTCGTTGTGGAAGAACGGTTGTTTACAAAAAGTGCAAGAGTGCTAGGAATTCTCAGTATCTTATTTATACCTATATTCCAAAGAAAACGAATGATGACTATGATACATTAAATACGTCGGGTATATTCCATCGCATAGCTAAATTGCCGAAAAAAAAAACTCCTACCCTCCATAGAGAAGCCATTATAATACAGTTCATAGATATTCCCTCTTCTCTTGTCCGAAAGTTTTCCCCGACTCCGAACGCATATACCAAATTCAGAACAGAAATCATATCCTCGTCAATCATCTTCTATATCATCATCATCTTTATCATTAACTGGCCCCTCCCCTTTAGTTTTAATCTTCCTTCTCTCAAAACTCCTCAAACAACTGACAAAAAGATGCCTAGAAGACTTTCCCAAGTTCTTCGCCCATATATCCAACGTCTCTGTTACCCACATCAACAGCTTGCTGAAGAAGAACAAGCAGACAAATGACGCAGATACCACTACCCCAAAGCCGATCCAATAATCGTCAAGCGAGTATTTGTCATCGATGTTTCTGAGCTGCGTAGAGAAATAAGACGTCATGAGTGAGACGGGAAGAAATAGAACTGAGAGCTTGGCGAGCAGGGTTGCCGAGCGATTCAGACGTGCAGTAGCTTGCGAGTCTTTCTGGGAATTGATGTTGAAATACTGGAGGAAAGTTAGCTTATTCGGTACTGTTTAGCGAAAAATTAAGGGGAATGGTACAGTGTTACTGAGTGCATCCTTTTCAGCCAGAAATTCTCCAGTTTCGCTCAGAATCAGCAATTGCAAACGATCGCCCAGTCTTTCAAACCTCTGACTAGCGGACGCTGCAAGTTTGACACCACTTCTCCCGGTTTGAGCTATGAATGAGCCATCGGGTGTGCCAGCGTCCCATGTAGAAGAAGGTTTGGGTTCAAGAATTCTAGTTATGAGATTGTTATAACCTTTGTACAAATGCTGCATTTGACGAATACTCTTGCTGAGGAAATGGAGATGAGGAATAATCCTGGTGTCAGGACCTTTGTTGGACTTTCTTGTCATCTCTTCGAATATTGAGGTTTCAAGCTCTTGCAAGCTCTTCTTGAAGAAGGCCACGGTTGCGTAGACAGCCCGCCAGTCATCAAATAGATAGTAGAAGAGGTTGCTGGCGCCTTCGATACCATTATTCGCATGAGCTGCGTTCAAATCGAGGACTTGTCGAACAGTCTGCATGGATATTGGGTCGGCTGTGTCATGTCCCGACTTGGAAAGTTGGCTTAAAACGCTCAGAGTATTCCCACGCATCGATATAAGATCCTTCTTGGTCTTCTTGATTGGTATGGTATCTTCATGTACAGCAATGACTGTATTATCATTGCAAAGTATAAGCCATGACCAAAGCCGACACTGAGCTCTGTCTATAAACAAGCTTTGAATCTTTGGGTTATCCTTTTCCCTCATTGCCGGCGGATCGACATCATGCATCCAGTTCGCACCAATACACATGAAACGTGCCCCGACGTCGACGGATTGGTAGTTGATCATTTGCTGAGCAATGGTATAGTGGCTTGCAGTTCCTGGAGGCGTACGATGAGTTGCATGTGCTCTGGGAACATTCATACTTGCTCTACCCGTTTCAATATCATCTTTTACGAACAATTTCTCCTTATAACTGATTCGGTGATCCTTTTTGCTCGAGATATTCGGCGGCAGGGTTTTGATAATAGCCAGGAGCCTCGGAGAAAAACCATATCGATTTGCAAGAACATCGATTACATCAGTCTGTCGGTTTGGGCCCCAAATATTGCTATCGCACATTAGTAAACACTCTTCAATAATTTGGCATCACAACTTACATCCATCGCACAGGAGGTCGTTCGCGTTCGGCTTCCGTGGAAGGTTCGTCCAGCAGCTCCTCCACTTGGTCTGCGTTCAAATCGAATGCTATGCTAGCCTCGAGTTTACCAAACTCGACGACAAAGTTCCGAGTATCTTCGTTCCGCGCTCGTTCGAGGCTGGCTTCATATGTAACTTGATTATCGAAGTCCGCGAAGATTCCGTCCTTTTCCATGATGTATAGGCTTTGCACGCATAATATGCGGAAGAATGAAGATGAAAACCATGATGGGAAACTTTAAGAGTTTATATAAAAAGGCTGTGCTGTGATTGATGCTGGTGGGAGGCGCACAAGGCTGATTTCGGAGCTGTGAAACATGATGGAGAATCAGTTCGTTGGTGGTATGCTGGTAGAACGACTGGCTGTCGTTTAGCAGTAGGTTTTAGCGGTAGGTTTTGGGCGTTCTCGCCCCTGTTGGCGCTTATCTATTATCAATTCAGCTTTTAAGGTTTCGACCAGTCACGCGAAGTTATCAGCAGTGTAAATTACATCAAAACACACTTTTTTGTTGGTGTTTCTCTTCATAAATTGTTTTTCCAATTTGAACTTTGTGATAGGTTACCCATTCTCTGGGTAGCAAATAGCTCTTATTGATGTTGGTGGTGCCAGTGTACCACTAATTATTTCCGTGCAACTTTCTTCTCGGCGTCAAGTAAAGAGAACTTACTCTGCGCCCGAAGCTTAAGTCTTCGCACCACAAGACACCAGAATGACTTTCGAGATCATACACATATCCAGTGAAGATCTTGTGAGATTTTATGTCGGAAAGTACAAGGAGTTTAGGCTTCTTTCACTGCAAATTGCACCTGAAGCTTTTGCGTCCAACTACGAAAGAGAGGCTGCATTCCTAGATGAAGTATGGTACGAACGTCTTGCAAATCCGTATGCAGCTACGTTCTTCGCGTTTCGAGATTTTAGATTGATCGGTACTATTTCAATCCTCGGCCCATTACCTTATGGCCCAGAAGAGATGATGGCCCTTGGAAATCCATGGCAAGCAATTGGCGATAATGCATCCAACAAACAAGCAACAGGTCACTATCGAATCAACGGAGTGTTTACTCTACCCGAAGTTCGCGGACAAGGAGTTGGGAAAGCGCTTATTGAAGTGGCCTTAAGACTTGCCAAAGGTGAAACTGCGGTACAGGCCAGGAAGTTTGTGTGCAGTATTGTGGTAGAGTCCGATAATGCTGGAGCTCGGAGACTGTATGAGAAATGCGGCTTTGTGGCTACAAAAGAGGTAGTGAGTGGAGATGCTACAGTCATACTCATGAAAACACCAGGCTAGAAGTCACAAAATGAATATACGGCATAATATCTAGCATTCTTATCGTCTTTAAATACAAACAGCTCCAAGTCTGGGATGACTGCAAAACTCCCGAGTAGCTAACTGGCATTGGGACATTGATATATGGGCTAGTGTGTCAAGTGTGGTGAATATCTTGGGTGTGCGATGAGTTGGAAGGAAGTCTTGAAATCCGAAGTTGGTGGTGCCAAAACTGTTGATCATAGGACAGTGGTAGAGATTCGGATGAGCCGGTGCGACATCAAGGGACATCTTTCGAACACATTGGCCAAAGGAATCCACGGAGACCAATGTCCTGCACAGAAGCCATATCGGATCTCAAAAATAAGTATCTAATTCTAATCCAATACTTCATACTAAATTCATCCCATCTTACTTTATCAACAATCCTCTATCCAAATCTTCCCCAAATTCCTTTTTTTGCACATCTACACCAATTTTCTGTAAATTTGAAAGGAAAGCTCTCTTACACCTACCTAGCTTTGCTGTCCTGTCCTTTCCTGCCTGTACTTACTTAATTTTTGTTCAAGATATCTCAAAATAAATACCTATCGATAGGTAGTGATATTCTGAGATCTTCGGATAAGTATTTGGGAATGTTGAATTCGAATGTCTGTTTTCCTTCTTTCTCTGCATCCCATGGACCGTTGTATTATTTGATGAAATCTCAATGACATTGCTAAAATTCTAGTTATATTCAGAAGTATGTAATCACCACATTTACCTACTATACACCAGACGATAACTATGGCCTGACGCCGTTAATCCACGGAGAATGATGTGCTAGTCAGAAAAAGATGAGAGTATATATTTCTACTGGTATCGTACCCACGCACCCCCCAACGCCGAGAATCAAGAGCATAAATCTGCCATACCATGCCGCTAACATCACTTTTTCATAAACCAAGTATGCTTCTTGCTACCCATCAACTACCAATACTTTACACTTCCACAACCCCCGTGCTCTCGACAACTAAACCATTACTTTCAGCATTGATCTTCACAACTGCCGTTTCCCCAGTCTTCAATTCTCCCCTGATAATCTTATCAGCCAATCCATTACCAATCTCCTTGGAAATGAGTCTGTTGAGTGGACGCGCTCCAAATTTCGGATCATATCCTCTGTCGGCAAGCCATTGTCGGACCTCCTGATTTACTTCAAGTGTGATTCGTCGATCGTCTAATCTCTTTTGAAGTTCTAGAAGTCGAATATCGACGATATCTCGGAGAGCTTCGTTGGAAAGGCGTTTGAATATTATGAACTCGTCGATACGATTAAGAAATTCAGGTGCATCTGTGGTTATCGTTAGTGACGTGTGAGAAAATGGAGTTATAGTGGCTAGGTGAACTTACAACTGTGCTGAACAACATCCATTACGGCGTTCCGGACAGAAGGTGCGATATCACCATTCGGCTCCTCTTTGTATGGATGTAAAGGGTCGAGACCAACGAGTATGTCCGCACCGAGATTGGATGTGAATACAATCAAAGTGTTTCGGAAATCAACCTTGTGGCCTTGACTGTCGGTCAAGAAACCTTCGTCCAATACTTGCAAAAGTAGAGCGGAAATATCTCTATGTGCTTTTTCAAATTCGTCGAATAGGAGAACGGCATATGGCTTTCTTCTGACGGCCTCGGTGAGTTGTCCTGCATCGTCATATCCAACGTAACCAGCCGGGCTACCTATTAATCGAGAGATTGTGTGCTTCTCCTGGAATTCGCTCATGTCGAATCTGACAACAGCTGATTCCGTTGAAAATAAAAAGTTGGCCATCTTCTTGCAAAGTTCAGTCTTTCCCACGCCTGTCGGACCGAGAAAGAAGAACGACGCAAGTGGTCGGTTCTCGCCGTTTAAGCCTGCTCGTTGCAATCGAACTGCGTTCGCAACCGATCTGAGAGCCTCGTCTTGACCACGAACAGATTGTCGCAAAGTGTCTTCCATATGAATAAGCTTCTCGGCATGCCCAGAAGTTAATTTTGTGACAGGAATACCGGTGACACGTGACACAACAGCTGCGATATCGTCAGCCGTCACGGCATCATGGATCAAAGTACCTTCGGCAGAAGAGCCCGCGTCTCCATCTTTCGGTAGCTTTGCTTCCAATGATGGAATTACAGAGTACCGTAGCTCTCCAGCTCGACCATAATTGTTTTCGCGCTGGGCTTGATCGAGCTCAACACGAGCTTTCTCGAGATCCTCTTTTGTCTTTTTGATGGCATCAATTTCGGACCTCTCTGCCTCCCACTTCTCTGTCAATGTTTTGGCTTCGTCTTGACAACCTTTGAGATCAGTTTCTAGCTTTTCGCGCCGTTCTTTACTAGCGACATCGGTCTCCTTTCTCAAACTCTCGAGCTCGATTTGAAGGGTCATGATCTTTTGATCGAGCTGCATAATATCGTCCGGTTTGCTTTCTTGCTGTAATCTCAGGCCACTCGCAGCTTCATCCATGAGGTCGATTGCCTTATCGGGTAAAAAGCGATCTGTGATGTATCGATTGCTGTAGGTAGCGGCAGCAACCAGAGCTCCGTCTGTAATGCGAACTCCATGGTGCACCTCATACTTTTCCTTGATACCTCTCAGAATACTGATTGTGTCTTGGATCGTAGGCTCGTTGACTTGGATAGGTTGAAAGCGTCTTGCTAGGGCGACATCCTTCTCGATTTGTCGATATTCGTTGAGCGTGGTTGCTCCGCAGCATTGCAGTTCACCCCGAGATAGCGCAGGTTTCAAAAGATTACTGGCATCAATACTTCCTTCAGCCTTCCCTAATCCCAGTAAAGTATGCAATTCATCGACGAAAAGAATCACGCCACCATGGGCTTCTTGAACCTAAGGAATGTTAAAACAAATTTAGACATTTACATGTTTCAAGCAGAAAGATATAGTTCTTGTTCCAGTTGCAATTGTGCTTCGGAAAGTATAGCATTGTAAGCAGATCTAACTAAGAAGTCTGCCTCAATAACTTGTATGTGTCTCAAGTGCACTAATTGGCCGTGCGTACTTGAAAAACAAAACAAAAAAGCTATACCTATTGACAAGATGTTACAGTTACCGAAATGAAAATGAAAACCCACCTCTTTCAAAACCGACTTCAATCGTTCCTCAAAATCACCACGGAACTTTGCTCCAGCAATAAGTTGTCCAAGATCCAGCGATATCACTCTTTTGTCTTTCACACTCTCTGGTACATCACCTCTTACTATTCTTTGCGCCAAACCCTCCAATATAGCTGTCTTTCCAGTTCCTGCACTTCCGATCAATACTGGATTGTTCTTCGTTCGCCGCGATAGTATTTGTATAGTCCTATTGATCTCCGAATCTCTGCCAATAACTGGGTCCAGTTTTCCTTCCTTTGCCCGCGCAGTCAAATCGACACCATATTCTTCCAAGGCGGACTTTTTTTCTCCGCCACTCATATCCATGCGATGTGTACCACCTGGAGGATGTGGACGCCCGTTTGCGTAGGTACGAAATGCAGTAAGAGGTGCGAGATTTCTGTAATTGAATGCATAACTGCTGCGTAATGCTGAATTGCTCAATGGCCGTCCGGCTCGAACCTGTAGAGGAGCTCCTCTTAGAAGACGAGAAGAGCTCTCAATTTGTCGTAATACTTTTATATTTCTCATTATCGTGAATGTAAACTTCGTAAATTTAAAAGAAAGAAAAGATACAGCGAAAGAGAGTAATCGTAGTACATCTCTTGAACCTACTCGAGTATATATGAACATGGGAATTCCATCTAGAATAATCTCGAGCATTCCGAAGGTCTCCCCACGTTTTTGACTTAGGTAAGCTAGTATTAGCTAATACATACTTTATTTATGCCTTACAATTTAGCGGCAAGCCGGAATCGCTAGGTGTCCCGTTATCAGGCATCGATCCGCCCCGCCATTATCTAAATTTCGCTCTAAGCGATTGTAGACAGCGCCTAAGCCAATCAAAATTTCACACTGTGGAAAAGCACCATTTCTGAAGTTCCATCCCCTTCCCAAAATTTGACTCACCCCACCACTATTCATCTGCACCACTTTGTTTGTTTTCCTCCTTTCTTAATACCAAAAAAATCTTCACTTTGAATATTAGAAAGAACAAGTTACATCTTTCAAAATGGGATTCACAGACTTCCTTAACGATGCTGGTCTTACCAGTAAGCTTCTCCCCCCGCCATGATACATTTGATCAAAGAATGTTGGAAAGCGCGTAAATTGACATTACTCAGTGCTCAATAACTGGTTGGAGACTCGCTCATATATCGTTGGGTATGTGATTATATCTTTTTTGGATGTTTGTCCGTTTTTCTTCCTGTCTGTCTGCGGGACAGCCTCTGCGATGTGTTTATTTGCGCACCAGTACCCCTCTTTAAACAATTTCCTACATGATGAGCGACATTGGTCCGTGTTACTGAGCGGCCTCAAGAACCGCGTTATGGCGATATGCCAAGCACTTTGTGCATCTCTGCTTTCTCTGTTTTCTCTACAATTTATTTCAAAAATACATGATAAGAGCAAAAGTTGACCAGAAATCATAGATTCTCCCCAAGCCAAGCTGATGTCGCCGTCTTCAAGGCCCAGCAATCCGCCCCAGATGCCGCAAAATTCCCCCACGCTGCTAGATGGTACAAGCACATCAACTCCTGGACCGAGGACTTCGCTACCCTCCCAGGTGATGCTTCCCAGGAATACACTACATATGGCCCAGAAAAGACCGAGGCTACCTTGAACCCATCAAAGGCACCAGCAGCTGAGGAAGAGGATGATGATGATGAAGTCGATCTTTTCGGAAGTGATGATGAGGAAGAAGATGCGGAGGCTGCCAAACTCAGAGATGAGCGCGTGGCTGAGTACAAGAAGAAGAAGGAGGGCAAGACCAAGCCTGCTGCCAAGTCTGTTGTCACTATGGATGTCAAACCATGGGGTGAGTTTAGAGTTTGATTTATTTAATGATGAAACAATGCTGACTGATCTGCAGACGATGAGACCGACATGAAGTTATTGGAGGCTTCTGTTCGTAGCATTGAGAAGGATGGTCTCGTCTGGGGTGCTTCCAAACTTGTAGCTGTTGGTTTCGGTATCAAGAAGTTACAGATTAACTTGGTCATTGAGGACGACAAGATTGGTCTTGATGATTTGCAAGAGGAGCTTGCAACCGAGTTCGATGAATATATCCAATCTTCCGATATTGTATGCTGTCCTCTTTCTGACTCTATTGACAATGGCTAACAAATATAGGCTGCTATGCAAAAGCTATAAAGCGTTTTACCATGCCTGGGTTTTGCTTTCGAGTTACGATCCGTCCCTGTTCATAAAATGATTTCACGCTGTTGATCGAGGTTTTGACTACGACCAGTCAATACTTTGTTATGAGAAAAAAATAAGTTTTACGAAATGATGATAATCATGGACTGGGATAGAATTGAATTACAAAAACCATAACGAGTACATGAAATTTACATGCAGATTGTTCCTGTGATTCATTTATGAAAGTGCTAAATCCATCGTTTTCTGTGATATCTCGTCAATTCGTTGTAGGGATAACCGTAGAGATTGCCCATATCGCGCTTACTGTTCTGGAAGGAGCCGCATCTTGTTAACGAGAGGACAATCTGGAACCTTGAACAACCCACAACCGGTAACAAAACACTGCATTCTCCAAATATGACTTGGATATCCAAATCAGTTACGGGTCTTGGCTTGCTGTTTCTCACACACGCGTATGTATGCCGAAGCTCAAATGATATTGTTTTCATCACTGACGGATATTATTCCTCTAGTTGCTATTCTGCCCATGAGCACTCGGTCCTGCAATCCACAGGAACTGCCAATCTATCTTCTATTACCTCTCACGCTGCGAACACTGCTTCTCTACCGATCGACATATCTATCGAGACCATCGTATCGATTTTCATAGTTTGTCTAGGCTTAGTATTAGGCACACCGGAATTACGACCTATACAATGGCGCGTTTGGGCAGGTAAAATTGAGCGAGAGGGAGCGAAAGGATTCATGAATGCGGACGGTGAGGTGGATAAGGATTTTGTTGGAAACCCTTTCAGAGTTCTCGAGAGTCGGCCAAGCTTCATAGACATCAGAAGACAAAGATATGACTTTGCGGAGTGGGTTAGGGAAGGAGGGGAACAAACCACGGCACGAGAGTCATAGAGGGAGGGAATCGTGTGTGCTGAATAGTGTGCAATGTGGTTCCTGTCGACACCGTGAAGATGATACATGGTCTTGGTCGGAGTGCCATGGTGCACATAGTCGAAGGGGGGATTTTTGGGGTTACGAATAAAAACCACACAGTGGCCCAAAAGTTGGTGTGCCAATCAAACAAAATAAATTTGAGCTTCTGGTATTGAACATGCTCAATTTTTTCCTATTTCAAGCTTCACTGGGCATGTTTAGGTCCTTACTACCTTACCTAGGTACCTTTATTAGGTACCTTACTAGAGCTGTGCAAAAGAAGAAGGTACACTTTTCGCTTGACAAAACCACTTCTGAAATGCTCACTTTCACTTTTTAATTCTCATCTTCACTCTCACCTTGAAACTTGTTCACTACCTATTTTCATTCCATATTCATTATATCTTCATTATATCTTCATTCTATCACCTTATTTCATCACAGTCTCAAAAATTGTATGAGAAGCATCGATATGCCGCCTTTTAAGCGTCGGCGAGTTAGTTCTGCTGCGGGCTCTAATCATCAGTCATGCTCCCGAGGACAATCGTCAAGATTTCGGTCAAGCTCATCAAGAATGAGCTCCGTGGCCCAAGACGGGCAAGGATCGTCTTCAATGCATCCTTCTCTCCAATTCAAGACAAGACTTTCATTGATATCGGCATCATCACACGCTGCACTTTCATCGGTGCAAGAAGAGGTCAACAACCTCGAAGCTGAAGAGAATGAATCCGATATTCGAGAACGCGAAGATTGGGATTCAATGAATGAAATTGTCATGGCCATTGAATTTAAAGAGCGTGGTATAGTTGGATGTGCATATTATATCGCTAGAGAAGAAAAACTGTGTATGATGGCAGACATCAGTAAGGCTGGACTTGATACGATTGACACTCTGAAAATCCATGTAGAGCCTACTGGTAGGTTTTCGTGACATCCCTAATTATTATTCGTGCTAAAGACGCTATAGTAATCCTAATAAGCACTCGATGCGAAGAGGTACTAGAAGAACATCTCCAGAAAGATGCCAAGGGCATTGACCGGGGAGACGCAAGTAGGTCTTTTATGGAGACATTACTTGTGCTAAGCTAACTCTGTAGACGAAATATTTGGCTCATACGTCCTTGATTCGCGACCGGCTGCGGAATTTTATTACGAGACGGCAAAGATCAAATTGGCCAACTTGGATATTGAGGGCGCGAGAGGCGTTAACATGACGTTTGCCACTCCTGGGGATGACTTCGCTGGAGATCACAACCATGATCAGGCGGGATCAAGTGGTGCGGGTCGTCAAGGAAGGTTAATGAGACTCGCGGGCTGGATTGACTTGGAGAGCAGACTCTCGGCAAGTCCTACTCCCGATTATATTCCCCCAATGGCACAGCATCTCAAATTTGAATGAGAGAATAGTGCTTGATCTGTAGCAAGCGTTAGGATGAAAATCCAGCCACGCCCCATAACACAATTGCATAGCTCTACTGACGATAATGTTTCCAGATTGGCTGTGCTGGTGCGGTGCTTAACTACCTTGGGCGACGACGAAGTGTAGATTACTTGCCCAACGACGAGGCTGCATTGATTGCATTCAGGATCCGCACCATTGAGATGTTTTCTTTGACGGATATGATGTTTGTGAACGCGGATACATTATCATCGCTCCAAATTATTCAGTCCGAGTCTCATCCGAACTCACATATGCAAGGCCCGAACAAGTCAACTTCGGGATCAAAAGAGAGCTTGTCCGTCTTTGGCCTATTCTATCATTTGGCTAGTACACCGCAGGGTAGGCAAAAGCTTCGGAAGATGTTTTTAAGTCCAAGTATAGATATGTCGGCAATCGAGGAAAGACTCCGGACAATAGGCACTTTTCTAATTCCCGAGAACCAACCGTTATTACAGGATATTCGGAAGAGCCTAAATAGTGTCAAAGATATCAGAACCGTGGTGATCCATCTACAGAAAGGTGTAAGTGGACGCTCTGGGAAGGCAACATCGGTTAAGAGTGGTATTTGGGGTAGCATTCGTTCATTCTCCTTCCATTCGCTCAAGATCCTTGAAGCATTGCGAGGGTTAGTAGGTGACAAGACGGTAGTCGCTGGTAAGGTGAGAATACCTACCCCTACCGAACTACTACAAAAAGCTTATTCAATACCCTTAGCTCTTCAACGAAACGCGCCCTAATAACCTTCTTGGTATTGGTCAAATCATCACCCAAACAATAGATTTTGAGAGATCGGCCGAACAACACCGTATCACGGTCAAGCAAGGCGTAGACCCCGAGCTGGACGGAATGAAAAGAACGTATGATGGCATGGAAAGTTTTCTTACGGAAGCACAAAGAAAACTGGCAGACGATTTACCCGAGTGGGCTCGTCAATATGTTGAAAATTGCATATACTTTCCACAACTTGGATTTTTGACGGTCGTACAACTGGATCCCGATACAGGCGAAGGGAAATACAAAGGCGAGGGGACCGAGGAGGATGAATGGGCCCAGACGTTTGTCAGCGACGAGAAAGTCTATTACAAAAACAGGCGTATGAGGGAAATGGACGAATATATTGGTGATATGTATAGTATGATTACAGGTAAGTTGTTGTTCAACCGTCTGCAATACACATACTGATTACTCTCCGTTCAATAGACAGGGAGATCGAGATCATACATGGCCTCACTGTACGTGTACTAGAGCAGGAGAAGCTTCTGATCACAGTATCTGATCTATGTGGAGAACTTGATAGCCTCGTTGCACTTGCTCTTGGGGCTGTCAAATATCGTTTCAACCCTCCAATCATGACGGAAGCCAATGTAATTGATATTGAAGGTGGACGGCATCCTCTCCAAGAGCTTGCAGTCCCATCCTATGTCGCAAATGACTGTTATCTTGCGGGTGGATCAGGCCATGCCAACGACGAAGGATTTTCTTCAAGCACTGCCCAGAATTCTGAGGACAACGAAGGCCCAAGTATGCTTCTTATGACTGGGCCAAATTATTCAGGAAAGAGTGTCTATCTTAAGCAAACTGCTCTGATTGTTTACTTGGCCCATATTGGCAGTTATGTCCCGGCTGAGAAGGCAGTTGTAGGACTCACGGATAAGATCTTAACGCGGATCACTACCCGTGAAAGTGTATCCCGAAATCAAAGCGCTTTCATGATTGACCTGCAACAAATAGCTCTCTGTACAACACTTGCAACTCACCGCAGCCTTGTGGTTATCGATGAATTTGGTAAAGGTACTAACTCAACAGATGGCGCTGGCCTAGCTTGCGGCGTATTCGAATATTTCCTTGGACTCGGTTCGCATCGACCAAAAGTACTCGGAGCAACCCACTTTCACGAAATATTTGAGAATGGGTTCTTGTCCCCAAGACCTGAATTATCATTTGGACATATGGAAGTTCATGTGAATAAACAAGCTGATCTCGCTGAAGACCAAGTTGCATACCTGTACAATTTTGTGTTGGGTAGAAGTACTTCAAGCTTTGGTACATCTTGTGCAGCGATGAATGGAATTGATTCTACTATCGTGGAAAGAGCTGAGGATTTGATACTATTGGCAGCTCGGGGAGAGGATCTCATGGAAGCTCTTGCGGCAAATATCTCGGAAAAGGACGCTCAGGATTTGGAGGATGCAGAAACCATTGGGAGACGTTTTCTTGAGCAAAACTTTCCTCTATCGGGAGGGGGTAATGCCGTGATAGACGTCCGAAGCATTCTTCAAAACATCCTGGATGTTGAAGGTGGGCTTGAGGCATGAAACAAGGTTTCGAAAATTCGGGGGGTGCGGTGTTGATCTTTTCCCCCAATGTTCGAACTCATGTTGATCAAGGTGATCAAGTTGATCTTTCTAAATATAGCTTGCAAAATACGTAATCATCGCTTTGGTCTCGATCAGATAACTAAATCCATTACTCAGAGTAAAGAGATACAACTTTCATCTGATCAATGCAAATTTTAGTTCAACCTCCTTCAGGTTTATGGCAAGACATGGAGAACTGATATTCTAAACTTCGAAAATGTACGGAGTAAGACCTGGGGGATCTGTTAAAACTTGTCAAGATCCACCTACTCTCCTGGTAGGGCTGAAACGAAGCATTCGGCTTGACTGTTTATCTACAGTACTCAAGTACCAGGCGAAAAATCTATTAATACCTTCCTTGGTCATGATCGTTTGAACAAACGTTTGAACAAACGTTCGATTGAAACTTTCAATTCATGATTCAACACTACGTACTCTCGAAACAAGCTAGTCAACCGCCAGAACCAAAGAGGCAAGTACCTTCTTCACGTGTGATACTCGCCCAGTTTCAGAACGGGCCAATGTGCCAGTGATAATATGTATCTATGCGGATGATTGTGAACGCGATATTCAACTACGGAAGCAGTATTGTGGTCCATAATCCTGCAAATGAAGTCAGCAGAGACGCAGTCGTCCCGCCTCATTTCGACGGAACATAGTTGAGACTGACGCGAATACGCTTAATTTTCACTTAGCGTTCGAAGAATTAAGAATTCTCATTCCTGTTATGGGAAGTTAACACCGCAATTGTTCATATTAGCATGCATTCATTCATGAAATGTAAAGCTTGTCTTCCAAAAACAAGAGTTGCGCTTTGTTTCTTTGATGGCAGAGTCTGAGGGTATGGTATCCCTCCACTCCAAGTCTCCAACTCTCGATCAGACCGTCTGTGCGAGATGTCAAGTAACGGCATCTTTGACTGCAGCCGCGACAGATCCAATTTTCCCGGCGTTTATCATTATTTGAACCAATTGCTAACAGGGAAACACGACGAATATGCATAACTTCCTCGCCTACAGCTCCATTTCTGATTATTGTGTGAATCTCTAAAAATAGAAGTATTAGAACATTCAATAAGGACGTGTGAAGGGCGGGAAAGCCCCAGTCTAATCAGTCGTGGTGTTTATCTGGGTCTCTAGCTGATCAGTGCTTCCGTACGTTGGAGAGTCAAACAATTGGGGTTATGCTCTTTTTTTAGATACTGGAGTCGTCGTCATTGCAAAAAAGTTTGATAAGTTATAAGGCAGGCAAGTCATCACTGTTCTTCCCAATTCATTATCACCATCATTCATCCATTCATCCATTCATCCACCCATCCACACAAGTTCTCATTCAAAGCTGGTCTTTTCCAAAGCAGGTCTTCTAATTCAAATCTTTTTTATAATAAATAAATTTTACTCAAATCCAATATCAACACCAAACCTCCAAAATGCAATACTCAAGCGCCCTTCTCTTGGCTCTGGCCGCTACCACCGTCTCTGCTGCATCCGTAAGTTTTCTCTTTCTGTCATTTCACCAAATCTTCATATCATCTAACAAATCACCAGGGTGTCTCAGGAACTAAGACCGCCTTAGGGGCTGCCAAGGCCACAGGAGTCGGGCTTGCTAAGGCCACAGGAGTCGGAGCTGTTAACTCCAGCGGAGCAGGTGCAAAGGCCAGCTTGGCTGCCCGCGTCGCATACCGTCCATACCGTCGTTCGATTACCAATGAGTCGGGTTCGGCAAAGGGAACAGGAGCTGCTGGTGCGGATGAAGCTAGCGGGGGGTTCGCTAAGGCTACTGGGGCTCAGGGAGCAGGAAATGCTATGGCTTCTGGGGCTCAAGGAGCAGGGTCTGCTAAGGCTACCGGGGGAGCAAGTTCTGGTCAAGGTTCTAGTAATGGTAACGGTAACGGTAAAGATTCTAATTCCGGCACCGGTTCGGCCAATGCTAGTGGGTTTGGGGCAAAGGCAGCGGGTGAGAGTGGCGTTGCTGCAGCTTCTGGAGGTTCAGCCAAGGCTAGTGGATTTGGCGCAATGGCAGCGGGTGCGAGTGGTGTTGCTTCAGCCTCCGGAGGTTCTGGACAAAAGGCTAGTAAGACAGCAGAAGCGGGCTCTGCAAAAGCGACCGGAGCTGACTTCGCTTCGGGATCTGGAGCTGGAACTGAAAACACCGAAAAGGGAGCTCCTCCTGTCTCAGGTAGCGGAGCAGCTTCAGCTTCAGCTTCGGGATCTGATGGTGCTTCCTCTACTTCTACTTCTCCAGGTTTGTTCTCCTATTTTCTCAGAATTTTGCATCCATCTTACTAATTCGGGCGCATTAGCTATGTCCACAGGTGGCGCCGCATCTCTATCTAATAATGGAGGAATGGTCGCAGTTGCCGGTCTCGGTGTTGCATTTGCTGTTTTCATGTAGAGAGGCTTGGGTTATGGAGTGGTGTGGTGATATTGGATAAAATCGAGTGTGGGAATTAGAACGAATGGGACTGCGCTGAGAAGTTTGGGTATACCCTCATAATATGTATAAGGCGGCGTATATGGCATTCATTTGGAAGGTTGGCGATTTTTGGTTTGGTTATTGTGGCTTGGGCTGGTCCTCTTGTGGCAGACGAAACAATCACTCATTATTATTTTGATGTACGGGAAGATATAGAATTGACTTTTATATGATATGATGGAAGGATCTTAGATTCTTGTGGAATTTCAGGATTCTTTGACTGTAAATAATCAATCTGGTTTGCAGATAATACTATCATTGCTGATCGATCTCATGAAAGATGTTTAGGACCACATTGTTGTACTTTGTCTTGTTCGATTCTATTCACAGATAGATACATTGAATCAACATTGTGTCCATTTCAAGATCTAACACTCGATCAACTTGGAAGTTCGAGCCTCTATAAGACATGAAAACCATTCAGAAGATGGGAAGTCTTCAATCTAGACTTTTGGGTGTATTGTGTACAAAAGAGAAATTACAAGGCAGATATAACGAAATCAAGTTGGAAGTACTATGCTTCACACTGTGACCTAGCTTTCATTTATTTCTTCATATTGTGGTAAACGATGTTTTTCACTGCTTGATGCTGCCAGTGGTGGTGAATCTTCTCCCTCATAGCCCATGTTGACTTCATCTGCCAACTTGGCAGATTCGAAGTGTTGGGAAAAGGCTCCAGATCTGAATTGAATACTCATGTCACCAGAAAGTCGACAATAACTAAACCTTGACGTTATCGCATACAATTGATTGCTCAATGAAGAAAAGAGTAAATCTGATCATTTAGCATTTTATCAAAGCTGGAAACAACAATTCAGTGCTCATATTCTTCAAACTTTCTGGCGGCACGAGTAGACTCAATCTGGGAAGATTGTCTGAGACAGAAAGAGGGACCTTCGTATATTGAAGAGCAAGTTTTGATAATAACATAAGACGAAATTCCGCCTTAAGGAACGCTGAGCCTTCTCCGGTCAGACAATCGCCAGATTCAGTTGTCGCTGAGTATGCGTTTCCTCAGCGAACAATTGATAAAAAGCATACCTTGGTCACTTGGTGAGACAATCTACTCCGCCGAAATTTGGTACAGGGGAAGTTCTCCAGGAACTTCTTTCGTTGGGAAGGAACAATGTACATGTTTTTTGTTGACATTCGTGCTGACGCATGCCGAGATTGGGTTCGAAAACTCTGGTATTGATGTGGGTTACCTTCAAGGAACCAGGGGCAAGGAGAAGATGTGATCAGTGAGGGAATATTAATCCGCAGCATTTGCAGTACAGTGCAACACGAGAGATAAGTTATAACAAAGCACAACAAATACCTTAGGGTTAGAAATGGAGAAATGACTTCGTTAAATAACAAGTAACCTGAGGTTGTTATAAGATTTTTCATATCCACTCAAAAAAATTGAAAGGAGACCTAGCCGGCTAGCCGGACTTATTAGCGCGTTTGCATATCCGGGTCTTCGCTTATGATTGGCTAACCAAACCCAGTTCTGAGGTCTGGAATAAAAGCCGATTCGGAATTTAGGGTCAGGCTAGGTAGGGACCGATAGAATGATTGACGTTCCCGGTCAACTCGGCGGTCGAGTGACTCCGTAATTCGTTCTTACCTAATTAGGTGTGGACCCAAGAAATTCCTTTCGTTCCAATTTTCAAAATGGAAGACTGATAAGCAACTCACCTAATCGACTTGATCTTTTCATCCAATGATATGTAGATATCTCCATCTAATCTAACATAAATGCGGATTGTATATATGATTTCAAATCCCATGAAGATCTTCAGGACAAGTCAAGGTTGTAAGTTGTAACAAAGAGAGATATTTTTATTTTACCATATACGAGTATGGATCTTCTCTTTTAATCGCTTACTAGCTCCCTCTTAGTTCACAGTTGAACTTCCCTTACCACTGTCACCGCTTGCATCTTCACAACAAATAGAGTGAGCTCCTTTTTCTTTCTACAGTTATTTCGTCATAAATCGCGCGCTACTTGAGCATCTCAGCATAGTACTACTACTACTACTACTAGCTTACCGTCATCATTTCTCAGTCACTTCGACTCATCAATCCATATGTTCAGCCTATATAATAATAATCCCAATAAATACATTCTTGCATTTCTAAAGGAAATTAGCTAGTTTACTGTTTTGATTTATTTTTATATACAAGTAGTTATGAAAACCATACCATCGAGTCGGATTACACATATTTTTGCTAATTTCCAGTTTATATTGTTTTTCTTCTGTGATTGATAAGCTAAGCACAGATCAGAAGCAAAAAATGCTGCACCCCACCGCAACCACATCCACAATCTGATACCAACTTGCTCCACGTTGGTATTATTATATATTTCACGGCACTCTACATCTCTCCCTTTAGATCAGAACGGGGAGACTAAGCATGCATGACCCCCCCCGTACCCCCCCTCTTGGTAACAGATTGCCCTTAATTACTCGGGTACTATTCTCTGATGTTTTTGATTCGTTTGATTTATAATCCTTCTCAATATCTGAAGCTAAGTTGGACGAGTCACTAGTACTAGCATCCTTATGTATTTCTAATCATCCCTTATTATTATTATTATATCAATATCCCGAGTCTACTTATCTTTTGACTTTTGCTCTTCAAACTTTCTGCAACTCGTCAGCTCACCGCACTTTGCGTGCAACCACCATCAAAATGTTCTACTCACATGCTGATCGGATGTACGCAGAGACAGCTGCGGAGGGCCGTGAAGGAGCTCAAATTCCATTGCATTCTGATAATTATCGTGGAGAACTCGTTCAATCAGAGGCGCCTTCATCCTCTGAGAGCGAGAGAAACAATGATGGAACATGGGGAGAAAACGAGCAAGGTGGACCAGTTAATCCCACGGCTGCTATGCAAGACTACGACGAATTGCGCCAGAAACTTACACATGTGTCGAGAACTCGCTCACAAAAGAGTGTGGCTACCACTCACAAACCTTCGGCACTGAAGAAAATGATGACCAATGCCAGTCGCCGCTCACGAACGACTGCTGGTGAAGATATAGAGGCACATGAAGGAGAACAAAGGCTTGAAGAGGAAGAAAAGCTCGAGGAAATAGCGGCAGAAGATGAGGATGAGGATGAGTTCGTACTGGGAGACTTTCTCAAAGATGGTCATTTTGAGAAACGGAACACGAAAGGAAGTGCCAAGAAGGTTGGTGTGGTATACAAGAACTTGACTGTACAGGGGGTCGGCGCAACTTCAACTTATGTCAAGACTCTTCCTTCTGCTATCATGGGTGTAAGCATTCGTCTTCCAATTTCACACAGTGTCCCAGGCTAACCTATACAATGCAGACTTTCGGACCCGACTTGTACAAATTATTGGCGCGATTCATCCCTGCACTCCCAAAACCTGGATCACATGGCAAGACACGCGATCTGATCCACGATTTTACGGGTTGTGTAAGGGATGGAGAGATGCTTCTTGTCTTGGGAAGACCTGGTTCTGGATGTAGCACATTCCTCAAAGCTATTTCGAATAAGAGGGATGATTATGCTGGTGTCAATGGAGAAGTATCATATGGAGGTATTTCTGCTGAGGAACAAGCAAAGCACTACCGAGGAGAAGTAAATTATAATGAGGAGGATGATCAACACTTTCCGAGTCTTACAGTTGAACAAACTTTGGATTTCTCACTTTTGAACAAGACGAAGAAGCACGAGAAGGGAGATATTCCAACGATAATCACTGCGCTTTTGAAGATGTTTGGCATTTCTCATACGCGTCATACTCTTGTTGGAGATGTAAGTTCTCACCTCTTCGCCCGATTGTGAATGTGGGAGACATATTCTGACTTTTGTTATAGGCTTTTGTTCGAGGTGTTTCCGGTGGTGAACGCAAGCGAGTCTCTATTGCGGAGACCCTTGCTACTAAGAGCACAGTTGTTTCTTGGGACAATTCTACTCGTGGACTTGATGCATCGACTGCATTAGACTACGCCAATTCCCTTAGAGTGATGACCGATATCAGCAACAGAACAACCCTTGTCACCCTCTACCAAGCCGGAGAGCAAATATATGAGCTCATGGACAAGGTATTAGTGATTGATGAGGGACGAATGGTTTATTCGGGGCCAGCGGGTGATGCCAAGAACTACTTTGAGAGAATAGGATATTATTGCCCACCAAGACAGACTACCGCAGACTTCTTGACAGCTTGCACGGATCCTGCCGAACGCCGTTTTCAGGACGGCTTCGAAGGTCCTATTCCCAAAGGATCCGTTGAGCTTGAAAAAGTATTCAGAGAAAGCGAAGATCACAAGCTACTTCTGGAAGATGTTGAGTCTTACGAGAGGATGTTACATGAAACCGACCATGCGGATGCACGACAATTTAAGGCTTCCGTGGAAGAGACGAAATCCAAGACTGTTGGTTCCCGGTCACCTTACACAGTCTCCTTCTATCGCCAAGTCCTTGCTTGCACAAAGCGTGAAATTGAATTGACTCTTGGGGATAAGACGACTTTGTACACCAAATTCTTCATCATTCTCTCTAACAGTTTGATTGTCAGCTCGTTATTTTATGGGCAACCAGCCAATACACTTGGAAACTTCTCGCGGGGTGGTACTCTCTTCTTCTCCATCCTCTTTTTGGGATGGCTTCAATTGTCTGAATTAATGAAGGCTGTTGGTGGTAGACCCATCATTGCCAGACACAAGGATTATGCTTTCTATCGTCCCTCAGCAGTTGTAGTTGCTCGTGTCGTTCAGGATGTCCCGCTGTTATTGTTACAGGTTATCCCGTTCTCTATTGTCGTGGTAAGTATTCAGGTATTCGTGGTTGTGCGGAAGTTATGCTAACAAGCACAGTATTTCCTCACCGGACTGGACGTGGATGCTGGAAAATACTTCATCTATGTGTTATTCATATATCTCACGACCCTCTGCATCACCGCCTTATATCGTATGTTCGCCGCGCTGTCGCCATCCATTGACGATGCTGTTAGGTTTTCAGGTATCGGACTCAATCTTCTCATGTAAGTCACACTTGTATGTCATGCGACCTCCCTATTGACAAAATACAGCATCTTCACCGGTTATGTGATTCCTAAACCACAGTTAGTATCTAAATATATCTGGTTCGGATGGCTTTACTACGTCAATCCTCTCTCGTACTCGTTCGAAGCTGTCATCTCGGACGAATTCTACAATAAGAACATCCCTTGTGCCCCGGAGCAAATTGTTCCCAGTGGTCCAGGGTATACAAATTCCGAATTCCAGGGCTGCGCTTCTACTGGCGCTGAGGTCGGAAGCTTGAGTGTATCAGGATCTAGATATCTTGAGGAAAGTTTCAATTACACAAGGACGCATCTCTGGAGAAATTTTGGTGTTCGTAAGTACTTAGTAACTCCCGTGTAAACTTCCATGTAATTCGGTATCTAACACGTTCTAGTTATCGCTTGGACTGTTCTCTATATCCTCGTTACTGCTATTGCCGCTGAGGTATTTGACTTCACGGCCGGTGGTGGTGGTGCACTGGAATTTAAGCGTTCTAAGGCTGCAAAAAATAAGGTCAAGGCGGAAAATGCTACGCCTGATGAAGAAAACTCACCGGCTTCAGCAAGCCCAGTTCCTGCAAGTGGCGCCTCTTCCAACACCCTGGAGCCATCTCAAGAAGAAGCACTCAAAGACATCTCTGGTTCAGAAAGTGTGTTTACATGGGAGAACGTCGAGTATACTGTACCATATCTTGGTGGCGAACGCAAGCTTCTCAACAAAGTCAATGGCTATGCAAAACCTGGACTTATGGTGGCACTGATGGGAGCTAGTGGAGCAGGAAAAACTACGCTTTTGAATACACTTTCTCAACGTCAAAAGACCGGTGTGGTGACGGGTGATATGTTGGTCGATGGACGACCATTGGGCACTGAATTTCAAAGAGGTACCGGATTTTGTGAACAAATGGATCTTCATGACGGCACGGCTACCATTCGAGAAGCCCTCGAGTTCTCTGCTATTCTTCGACAAGAACATACAGTTCCAAGAGCTGAGAAGATTGAATACGTGGACAAGATCATTGATCTTCTCGAACTAGGAGACATGCAAGATGCTTTAGTCAGATCTCTGGGTGTGGAACAGAGAAAGAGAGTTACGATCGGTGTTGAACTAGCAGCAAAGCCTAATCTCCTACTCTTTTTGGACGAGCCTACTTCTGGACTCGACTCGCAATCTGCCTATTCCATTGTTCGTTTCCTGAAGAAACTTTCCGCCGCTGGTCAAGCTATCGTTTGTACTATCCACCAACCATCTTCAGTCCTCATTCAAGAATTCGATATGATCCTAGCCTTAAACCCAGGCGGCAACACGTTCTACTTCGGGCCTGTCGGTGAAAATGGTTCCGCAGTGGTGAAGTACTTTGCCGATCGTGGTGTACACTGTCCCCCGCAAAAGAACGTCGCAGAGTTCATCCTCGAGACTGCCGCCAAGGGTGGAAAGCGCCCAGATGGCAAACGACTCAACTGGAACGAAGAATGGCTCAAGTCGGACGAAAATAAGCTTGTTATGCAGGAGATCGAGCGCATCAAATCCGAGCGTGGTCAAGTCGCTGCTCCAGAAGCTAAGTCCCAACGGGAATTTGCTTCTCCGGTTACACTTCAAACAACCGAATTGACTAAACGTCTCTTTACCCAATATTGGCGCGATCCGTCGTATCTCTATGGAAAACTCTTCACATCTGTCATTATTGGTATCTTCAACGGCTTCACATTTTGGCAATTGGGTTACAGCATCGTCGACATGCAGAACCGAATGTTCACTTCATTCTTGATTATCCTCATCCCACCCACCATCGTCAATGCTGTCGTGCCTAAGTTCTATCAGAATCGCGCCCTTTGGGAAGCTCGAGAACTCCCTTCCAGAATCTATGGTTGGGTCGCCTTCTGTACTGCTAATATTGTCGCCGAAATACCCATTGCCATTGTTGGGGCGGCGATTTATTGGGTTTTATGGTACTGGCCTACTGGTCTTCCTACCGACTCTTCCACTTCGGGTTATGTCTTTCTCATGACTCTGCTTTTCGTAAGTTCCTCTTTTTCCCTGTCATCATCATCAAACCCCAGTTACTAACTTCTTTATAGTTCCTCTTCCAAGCTTCGTGGGGTCAATGGATTTGTGCCTTCGCCCCCTCTTTCACTGTCATCTCTAACGTCCTTCCCTTCTTTTTCGTCATGTTCGGTCTCTTCAACGGTGTTGTCCGTCCTTACTCCCAGATTTCCGTCTTCTGGCGCTACTGGCTCTACTATCTCAATCCAGCCACTTATTGGATCGGCGGCGTAATCTCTGCTACCCTCTCTAATGTTCCAGTCGAATGCGCTTCAAACGAAGCTGCCTACTTCAACCCTCCGTCCGGTCAATCTTGTTCTTCATATGCTGGCAACTTTCTTACCTCTGCCGGTCAAGGATATCTGACAAATCCTGATGCTACAACAAATTGTGGATATTGTCCATATGCGAGTGGAGAAGAGTACATGAGGACGTTGAATATCAGTCCGAGTGATAAATGGAGATACTTTGGGATTTTCCTGGGGTTCTGTATCAGTAATTGGGCGTTGGTTTATTTCTTCATTTACACAGTAAGGATTCGAGGGTGGACTTTTGGGTTTTCGACTTTGTTTGGAGGTTTGGGGAAGATGATTGGGAAGGTTAAGAGTGTGTTTAAGGGAAAGGGAAAGAAGAGTGCGAGTGGTTCCGAATAAATAATCGACAGGTTGTGTTGTGGGAAAAGGAATACGAAGCTTGATACTTCAAGGAGAAGAAGTTGATGTGAAAATTGGTCAAACGAATCTCTGGTTTTAGCGTTGGTTATCAAGATACATGGGAATTTTATTTAAGGATTTGGTTATGGGTATGAATGCGTTAAGTAGAAAAACACCAAGGTGTATTAGAATATGGGATAATGATTAGTCTAATAATGATGGAGAGATATACTTTCAAATAGAATGTTTTTCATTTCGTCTCGTCTCCAGATTTGAACTCATTTGATTGTGAATCAAACATCGTTCTCCGAGACGGCAAGAACGCATCGTGGCATGCAAATACTGGATGGCGATTGCTTGCCTCTACTTCGGGTTTCGCTCATTAACAATAAGAGGATTGGATGTTAAGATCATATTGTTCGATATGTAGGCATTATTATATTTACTTCTATTTTATGCTCCACCCTAGATATTCTCACTAAGATAGACCACATCTTTCACGAAAGCGCAAAACCAGATGAATAAGGGAGAAGCTCGAGAGCCTCTGACTTTGAGAGGGGGGAGTCTTTGAGGCGTTCACTTCAAATATATATTAGATGTTCCATGGAAATTCAATGTTCCAAATATATTCAACGTCCTAAATATATTTACTACATGTAGTAGATTCCAAGAATCAAGAACCCCTCATTATCAGACTGTAGTCTGGATGGACAATCGAAACCTCTGATCTCAACTCAACAACAGGACAGAGATAAGGCACAAATGTAACTTAGTATCTGACTATCGTCACCCCTTTCTTCGGTTGTACAGTAGTAATTCCCCCTCCACATATGTATTCATCTCACCTCAGATATATATTGAGAAATATCTCATCTCAGTACTGAGTATGCCGTTTGATGCACCATTAATTTCTCCTTCTAGAAGATATGTACTAACACACCGTATGGAATTCCAATGGGAATATATCATCTCATTTAATCACATAGATCACATCTCCATTTCCCACTGTGTTCTTACCCTCACACAACACAACACATACCATACCAATCTATGTATCCTACGAAACGACTTCTCTTTTAGACAAAAAAGTATAGAATAGAAAGAAAGAAAGAAAGAAAGAAAGAAAATTGGGAGATTATTATTCACCCACCGCCATTCTCCTACCGCTCTTGCCAATGTTTTTATCACATCCACCTATAATACATAATACAATACCAAGACCCTTCTAGTGCAGCGTCAGCATAACCATCTCGCATCTCTTCCCTATCTTGTACAGTTAGATATTCTCTCTTTTGGCGAAATATATATCTAGGTTACTGCACGTGCTAACTACAACTACAAGTGATCCGCTAAATACTATAAAAAAAGAAAAGATCCAGCAAAGAAATATCACATCATCGATCGCTCATAGAGAGTCACAGCCGATCCTCAACCTCAGCCTTGCAGATATTAGGTATCATTATTCTTAATATATACATACCAGTACATACATTACGGCACAAACGCATCGCTCCACATATAACTTTACCTAGAAGCCTAGAGTTCGAGTGGAGGTTCAAGAGAGTGAACTACCAGTGAACAGACAGTAGTCGAACCGTACTTTACTCTTTTTGCGATTTTCTATATATTGATTCAGTTTGAGCGTAACACGTCGCTATCTTTTACTCGCCCAAGTCGAACTTGGCAATCCTTTAACTTCTCTACGTTTAGTGGGAATAAAACTTGAAAGAAACTCGGGAATAGTTACCCATGCAAAAAGGCCATTGGATATTCGCCCATTCATTCCAATCAACACTGGATATAATCGGCGTAACGCGCACTAAGCGGTTCTCAAGTACTCGAGTACAATACTATATACAAAGGAGCAGAACGTTGGGTTCGTTCGTTCGTTCTCAGCCCAAAAGAGAAAACCCTTATTGAAGATACTATTTTGGATTCTGACCTCAGAATGCGTTTCAAACATTTTACGCGTACAGTATCATGTTTGTATGACCTTTTAGATTATACTTGTACTCCGTTAATCTGACCATAGATGATAGATGATAGATCCCTTTTCACTTTGTACCACAGTCACTAGCGTTTGATCTGCTTCCTTAATTATAGACTTATTTACCCCATGTCTTCCGTGTTCACACTACCCGTAAGGTTATCTTATTGGCGTTAAGGCAAGGCTGACAGCCATTGCGCCTCTAATTCAGTCTTGGATTTTTCATCGCTCGGGGGCTTTGTGGGACGAATGTCTTGCATTGTTGTTATTGTTGATTATTTCGACTTCAATGCGAACTGCATGTCAATAATAATTGATTGAAGATTGCTGGATGTACGAATAGGATTTCTGCAGGGACTCCTAATAAAGGACAGCATGAGGTAAGTTTTCCTTAGGTCCCCCCCAATTCCAGGAACCAGAGACAATTTGATGTTAACATTTCCAAAAATATCCTGATGCAAAATTTAAAATCCTGTTTGCTGGGTCATGATCTCATTTCACATGGCTACAACGTTAATTCGACGTCAGCACCAAGTAAGCAAGATGTTCTGATACATCGCTATGTACCTTCCGGGTGGAAATACCTCCTCGTAAAACTACAGTCTGGATATACAAATTACAATAATAACAGTCTTTCTGAATTCATCGTCCCATATAAAACTTAATGTCTGGCCAGTTGTTCATCGGCCCCAAGGTGCTAATGCTGATCCTAGCCACTACTCTCGAGCCACTCAATCTGGAACAGGAAAGTTACCGGTTTCTCTATAACATCTTATCTATTACAGTTATTGCGCAAGCCTTCAGCTGCCACAACGTTTTTCTAACTTATAGCTACTGGAAATGATATGAAGAAATGTCCAAACTTCCAACATCCAAAACCAGCAGGATCTCGAACTGAAATTTCTGATTTTGACATTTAGGTTAACTTTATTAAAATTTCCCTCGAAAATTTGTAAATTTATTGGTACATGGGACTACACCATAATTGGCTATATCCTTCTGTAAAACTCCAAGCTCCAAACATTGTTTTCAGAGCTTCCATGAATCCATGGAGCTGAAGCCCTTTCGCCAAATCATCTAATAAAAGGATCACCATATCTCTAGCCTTGCCGAGTTTAACGCATCAACTTTAGTTCATCCCCAAAGGCTCAGCCTAGGATCATCATCATCAAAGTATGGAAATAGTACGGCGTGAGTCATCAGATTTGCTTCTTCAAGATATGATGGAGCTATCTCTAACCATCTCTAGCTATCAGCAGCTATCAGCAGCTATGAAAAATGTTACCAGTATTAATTGTAAGTGTCTACTATTTTCCATACCAGACATCTATACTTGGAGACAATTGCACTAATTGATCGATCACAAGCATGTCCTAAAGGTTTTTGTTGGTAGTACATTACCGCACTAAATGTTGATCCATCATAGATGACAGACATCCTTTGAGACCAAACCTAAAATTAACATTGGAAACGAGAACAGGGGGAGAGCAGCATTGTATCAGTACGCGGGTTCTTACTTCCTTCAAGAATTTTATACTGAAAACTAAACTCTGGAACGAGCGGAGCCAATAGCTAGCTGACTTTCGTTTGATTCCTCCAACGAAACATGGAGAACTTTTGACTTTATCGCTTATATTCCAATCCTAGTCAAGTCAACTCTCAGGCGCATGGCATCCATACACACCCCCTGGCCATTATTAACGGGTGGGTGGAACTTCGTTAATGAGCGGTGGCTCCCCCACCTCTGGAACAATCAGGGATAGTCCTAGAGATCAAAGGCTGAGGATTAGCTCGGTGCCAGCCATTCCTCTGAATGGGTTATCCATCCATGCGCCTAGAAGGCATATTTGGTAGGATGAAAATGCTAGTGATCAAGGATATAATGATCTCACTGGACTGCGGACCTGAAGGAACGACTAATATAACTCACTACCCTTCTCTATCGACCGCTCACTTGTTATATATCATCTAGGCATCACCCAACATCACCATGGCCACTACTTCCACATCCACAATTCACAACTCTAGGCAGTACTTTTACACATCGACGATGGATTCCACAGCGGATAAAGAAGAACGCAAGCGCGAGGTAGGTCCTCCTTCTCGAGGCAACTACAATACACATGCTGATAAAACGTTACAGTACAATCGTCTTGCACAAAGAGAATTCCGTATGCACTTTGAGATCCACATTGCGAGTCACAGAACTAATGATGAGTTTACCAGGCCGAAGAAGAAAGGAACATCTCAAGAACCTCGAGCATGCGCAGAAAGAACAGAGCTCCGAGCAATCGGAAGAGATTGAGCATTTGAGATATCAGAACGACGAACTCAGAAGAGAGAATGAAGTTCTTCGGGCACAACTTTACGGTTCAACCTCACAGGGTCTCCTACTTCAACCCGTAGGACAGATTCCTTCCGATCACCGACAATATTCTTTATCCCCATCTATCTCCGGCGCATCTATTTCCAATGCCGGTAGCCCTCCCGCTTCTCTAAGTTCAGACATGATGTCTATGGGCTCCATACCCATGACATCTACGATGATATCACCTTCTACGTATGCATATGCCGATTCGGCAGCTCTGTCTTCTCAGCCATACAATATGGTACATCAATCCGGCCTCCGTCCACATAACTCACAAAGCTCACCTGAAATATCAGGGTACACACGAAATCCTCGATCTTCAATGGGGTCTTCCTATTTTCAACAACACCCAACTCTAAACATTCCTCGTGCCGACGGTAGTGGAAACGCCACAACTCAACCATCAAGAGGATCTTCTGCAAAACAAAAGTTAGTAGGCCCTATGGACGACACATCTTATTCGTGGTATTAACGAGTCTGAAGTGTCTCGATGGCCATGATGCCTTACGATCGCAAAAAGGGATGCACTCAAATCCGAGAGCTATTTCGCCCCCTCCTCTCCGATCCCTCGATTTTAAATGGCTCCTCCCCCGACCATCATCTCGCCCTTCTCCGCTCCATGACCGATATTCTCCCTACAACCCTCAAGCCCAACAAGTCGCAATTAGAAACACCCCACTACTACGCTATCGATATGATCGCCTCTCCTTCATTACGGGACCGTCTCATGGCCTTAACAAGCGATGTGGCGCAAAGCTTTATTCGGGACTTTGGGAGTTGTATTGGCGAGGCAGATGACATAGGACAAGTCATCATCTGGGGAGATCCCTACAACGAGCTATCGTGGGAAGTATCACAACCGTTATTGGAGCGATGGGGCTGGTTACTCGGCCGGGATTTTGTCGATAGAAGTAATGCATGGAGGATCCAACGAGGTGCTCCTCCCTTACCTGAATGGTAAATCATGATTTTTTTTTGGGCGATTTTGGCAATGGTGTTGGTGTTGGTGTTGGTGGGAAGAGTGGGGTTCATTGGGGCATACACGAACTTCGACGGAGTAAGAAAGGAAAGGATTTATGCGAATTGGATTGGAGTATAAATATATCACGGCATAGCGAATGGCGTTCAGCATAGCAAAATCGGCGTTGCATCTGTTTTTTGATGTACTTTTTTTAGAGGCATTCATTGGGTTAGAAGATCATATCTAGAGACTATTTTTGGATTCGATAGAAACAAGATAGACATTACATTTTAGAAGTACTCGAGTACTCTACATATACAAAATTGAAAATTACAAAATTTTGCAACTACAATTACAATTCTACTCCCGAAAGTGACGTTGAAGCTACAATATCTACGAGTAAAACCATAGGGGCGGTACATACTCGTACTAAAACCAAGGGTCCCATCCCAACTCCCAAGACCATAGTAATGGAACCGTACTACTGTACTGTACTACTATCCCGTTTCTTCTCGCCATAGGTACCTTTTGCAGATCTACTCGTAGCTTAAATCTCGATCATTTAATGTGTACTATTTTTAGGTTTAAAGGTTAAGAATTATATACACTAGACTGCATTTCGTAGATTCAGACGAAGTCGATCGAATTCGTCAGAGCGGGATGGATGGAAGTCGGTTTATCCCTGGGAAGCTTGATGGGATGGGATGGGCAATGGTGGATAAGGAAGGTTAAATGGATATTCTTCATTTTAGACTACAGTACGACTAGATGTACTGTACTTGTAGAAAAAAACGATACTTTCTGAAATACTAATATTGTCAAACTTCGATATCAATTATCGTCCCTTCGTCCACGTTAATATATCCATTCATTCATTCATTCATCCATCAACGAAAGAACTTTTCACACTTGACATATCTCACCCTCCTTCCTTCCAATTGGTTAATTCGTACGGATTGAACTGTATATACAGTTGAGTATTTAACGAACGCTTCTTACTCATCTGTATAACATATCCCCAGGGCCCCAGGGATATATATTAAGCATTATGCACTGCAACACACCACTCATACTCTCGGGTTTTAAGTTTTGCAGCATCTTCTTCCCCGCGGCTACCTGGTTAGTTACATTCACTACACCGTTATTGATAATTGATATTGAGGTTACATTGATATCTCATATCTCATATCTCATGGATTTTGATTTCATTTCTCTTCCTCAAGCTTCCACCACCAACATGCCTACCTACTGTACTCGAGTAGTACCTACCTAGTCTAGTCACCAAGCGAGATTCCAGGAACAAGCCAGCAGGGGATGACTGGTATGGATAATGGATCTCGCTGTTCGGGATTATAACATTAATTAATACTGTATAGTAATAATAGCAAAGAAAGCCTTACCGTACGGCATTACCTACAGGCTACTGCCCACTGTCATCTTGAGGTGGAGATCTTTTCTATCCCGGTTCGTTCTTTTCATGGGTTCACTATGGGTTCAGTGTAGAAACCCCTAAGCCTCCTCTTCCCGCAGGCACTAATAAGTAAGGATGAGGTCTAACCACCTAAGAGAAGGGAAGGTTGACGGTTTGAAGAACATACGGTCAATCAAATAATCCCTCCACTTGGTTGTGAGATAGTAGTAATTAGATATCCATCTCATGGAAAAGTTTCTGATTGGTTGGTTCGTTTGGTTTCATGTGGGGTTGGGGGCTGTAAATATAGGATTGCAGTATTTGTTGTTATCCGTAAGGGCGAGACCAAAAGACTCGCACAAGTGTTGATTTGTTTTTCTTGGGAGCAACTTCTGGTTTGTTTACTGGGAATAATAGCTTGTGTGTCGGAAGATATTTGCTGTGAAAGTGGGAGGAACTCACTCTCAATTTTCAAAGGAGTAAAAGATATTTCTTCACTAACTCCTATTTCGCTTGCGATCGCTTCTTGCGAAATTTCTCTCAACGACGGGTACAGTACTATGTATGGTCCATTTGCCATCGATGATGTATCAGCGGTACTGTACAATATACCCAGAGTCATTATTCCATCAAGCAAGTGCATACAAAAATCATGCATGCTCTCACTAATATTCGTCATCTGGAGTCGAGTACAGTATATACGGCCGTACTGTACTCCAATTGTCATACCAAGTACATGCCAAGTACTAAGTACCCAGAGACCTACCTGCTAAACAAACAACTTTAAAGTACATCCCGAGTCAGCGTCCGCCGTCACCCACCTACCTACCTACCTACCTACCTCTAACAAGCGTGTGGATCAGCACCAGGAAGAAAGATATCTGATCTGACAGCAGCGCGCAGATTGGCGTGCTGGCAGTAAGCGCCACGTTAACGTTGAGTGAGATGAGCCCTCAAAGTTCAAACCATCAACTTTAGGCGTTGGTAATTGGCAAGGCGAGAGGATACCGTAGTAAGCTCGCGTCGTGTTGCTGTACATTTGAGTGAAGAAAAAGATAAATAACGAGGATGCGGGGGTGAGGCATAGGGCGAGGTAAGTTTCAAGAGGAATTTTAATGCGCTGGAGTGTGGTGCTGTTGCTCACATCAGCAATGCTATGCTATTGCTATGCTATTGCTAGAACCGGTGAATGTTTGATTGATGATTGATAATTGATCACTCTAGTACTACTACTATGTATTGGATGCAGAAGGACCTGAAAATTACGATCACCATATGACGTGGTGTTTACATAGTTTTTTCACATGCAAACGCAAGCAAGGAACTTGCTTACCTACCTACCTCTAACACATCCATCTATGATCTTTTCGAGACCCTCCATCTTATTCGACGAGAATACGATTTTAAACAAGGTGATCTTCATTTCCTTCTTATTTTAGACGAGCATGTTTCCAAAGACTTACTACTACCTATTCAAGTATCGGTACTGAGTACTTGACCTCCACTCGATCTTAAACCTCTATGCAGATTCGAAAAGAATTGAACTTGTTACTTATGATTATTGCCATGTATATACTCTACAGTACAAGCGCCATGCGCTTATTCGGTTTCACTCTACAGATCTCCGAATTGGGTGATTCGAAACAAGTACTCGAGTAGATTACTTACACTACTCACTCTGGAGTCTGGACTACCTACCTACCTACCTAGTACTGTATATACATTGTACTGTACTGTACAGTACAGCCACCATTAAGCACAGAGTCCGAACCAGAAATATTCGAAGTCCCACGAACCATAATCCTATCCCATCTATAGCTAATAAGCAGTTGTCGTTGCAAAAAGTATGTATGTACCCAGATATAAAGCGAAGTAGTCGTCACAATGAATGCGAATCCCGCGAATTTCTTGCTCTATCTCCATCTCCGATCCACAGCCCATGGCTGATATCGATGGATATTAGCTCATGCAAGAAATACCTACACTGTACCTATGTACGTATGTATGTATGATGATCAATCGAGACGGCTTGCTACTGATGAATTCGAAACATCCCAATTAACCATCATATCAAACCAAACTAACCAATCGGAAACGATACGATATTGATGAAGCTTTACAAAAGTTGTATCTTTTGTATTGAACCTACTGATGGATTATACTGATATAGTGTTATTGATACCCATTCTGAACTTCATTTAGCATCAGGTTTTATCCCATACTACCTAGCCATAAATATAAGCATGTTTTGACCTCGAACAAAACATTTGAACACATTCCCAAGTAGCCTTTTCAGTAACTCATTATCAAAAAACGTCCAGTGATATGTGTCTAATTACAAAAACAGTTGGGATGTAAACCATCACTTTTTCCCTGGGAGATTAATTTGAAGCTATGTACTTTTAAAACTCCATTAGGTATCTCGAAAATTTCGTCGTTGAAGACTCCAGTGTTTCCTGCCGGGCTACACTTTTAAGGCGTTGAAGCCTCATGAATATGCAAATCGCTCTAAATAAATCTATATGCATGCCGTGTATCAAAAAGTCTTCGTTAGTTATGCGTCCTGCGCCCATCGTCGCTCTCTCAAGGGCATTTCCTTGCCAGAAGCCGCGCGAGTTCCATCATTCTCCTCTCTCCATGCCCAGTATTCTCCCAATCTGATTTCCGCGTATGCAGCATAATCGAAATCGATTTGAGATATCGTGGCCTGGATCAATGCCCAGATTCCCCAATAGAAGCCCGGGACAGCTCTGAATATATCCACTTCGGTAAACATTTTCTGGACCTCTGCTTCTTCATCACAAGTTTGCTTCAAATGAGCAAAGTAACTTTGAATATATTCGCGAATGAAATCAAGCCTCTCCGCTCGCGTGGGCATATATTGATGTTCGCAATCGAATCCTCCCCACTCCGCAAAATGATTGGCAATATCAAAAGCTGCTGGAGAAGGGGTTGCGTATTCGTAATCGATGAAACTGACAGTTTCTATAGCAGCTGGGGTAGTAATGCCAGCAGGTCGAGGTTGTACGATAACATTACCACTTAAAAGGTCGCAGTGGGCAAATACAAGCTGGAGAATGTCAGCATGGTTCTTGGTGGCAGGAGGTTACAGCGGGAGATGCATTGGTATGGTAGCACTACTTTTGCGTCCAAAGACAACTGTGGTCGCATCGGGTTTCACAAAGGTCACTCACGCTATTTTCACCAAGACCCGGCCGGTTACTGAGTTCAGCAACCAGACGATTCAATTCCTTTTGCAAATTTGCCTGTCGTGTCTTTTCTACCTCTGATCCCACCGGGAGTGCATATATCCATTTTTGCATCACCGTCCAGACATTAGGGGCTGGCTTGCCAGGAGCGGTATTGTCAATGACAGATTGCAGAGCAGAACCCACCTTGTTTGATGTTGTAGCTGGGAAAGCAAATTCTTCACTACCATTCATTTCTGTGGATTGGGGTTCACGATCCGTTGCAAGACACGGAACGACCGCATGCCACTCTGCCAATCGTCTAGCTACTCCACGCGAAATGCTTTGCTGTCTGAGGTCTGCAGGACTGGTGACCGCCCCTCTAATGAACCGATACAGCATTCCATTCTTAAACCGGGCAAGTAACGCTGGTGCTAAGTTGAATTGCGTAAGTAATTCGTGATTCTGAGTCTCACGCTCTCGGTCGATAATCAAATCAGTTCCTTGACCATAAGCCCGCAGCAGAACTGCCTCATTGTCAATTTCTTCCGAGGAGAGCCCAGGTCTCTTGTTGATGACCTTCAACAACGTGTTCGTTATGCCATCCGTAAATCGTATAAATTCGATTTGCCCATCCGTTCGTTCCCAATCGGGGCGCAGGGTCAGGATTAGACGTAGGGCTGATGTTTGAGATTCGGCAGAGTTGTACGAGAGGGGGATGAAACGGATCTTGCCAATCGAAGCATTTGGCGTTGATACAGTGGCCATGGTATATTCTTTTTACGAAAGGAACCGGTTGCAAGCGAAAGGATGTAGAATCGAAGTAGATGCTTATTCTGTTTCAAAGCTATTAATAATCTGCAAATGGCAGGATTTAATGACTGACCTACTCGAGATTCGGGGTTTAGATTGATGGGAGGACTCTGAAGCCCTGAAGAGTGAATAAGACCCCCTACAGGATTAACCTGGCGACAACGTCAAACCAAATGAATGCTGATTCTCGGAAAATAACAGAAACTTGATATCCCGGTTTTGAGAACACTGTAGAGTATATCAATCTCCAAATATCGTGGCTGGGTGAAGAGGAATAAGGGGGTTTCCAAGGAATAATATTGCCCTGTTGGGTATCCTGTAGTTAGGAATGTAGTAGTGAGTAGTCCAAAATCCTCTTAATAGTTCGGTCTTCTGATTGTAGGAGATGATTAAGATTCTCAAGTAGAGAGAATAGGAATCATAGGATAGAATAAAATGATGAATAGAGAAAAAGTTTATTGATCTAAGATGAGCTAATGCATTTCCAAAATGGGGTCTCGTGCTCTTTTGGAAGACCCAAGAAAGACCCTTAAAAGTTAAAAACAATCCGCTTAAGCCAGGAACATTCCGCATAATCTCAACGATCGGGAAGGTGCTTTTGAGAATCAATTAGGTAATCAATTAATCAATCAAACGCAATCTTTTACATGTGATTGTGGATTGTGATTGTACTGGACAACTGAGGAAGTTAGTTCAAACCTTGAATAACTACCTAATAGGTAGATATACCTTTTCAAATACCCTTCCGTTTTACTTCTTGTATCAATACTTCTCTTCGGTGATTTGCTATGCCTATTTGCTACCTTTGCTACTTGACTGTCTGTGTTTGCTTTGCCGGTTCGACCGTTAGAAAACGTTGATCGGTACGAGACAACTGAGTCCGAAAGGGCTATCATAATTTAAGGTCGCTGCTTCTCTTCTCATTCATAAGGAAAGCAGTACTTCTATTCATCCATGATTTATCATTCTATGCTCGACTTCTCTTGAGCCTTTTCACTAGGTCAAAATCCAAATGTGGTAGAGCTCTGGGTGGTAGTCTCCTGGTATTAAGCTCCTGAGTGGTAGAGCTACTCTGAGTACCAACGGAACAATTGCACACAATACTTCTACTTGCACGTTTTACATGATATAATATCAATTAATTACTCCATTTCCTCACACTACTTCACACCCCCAAAATGAGTGTATGTACACATAAAAAGAGATGCTTGCTTGCTAGAAAACAATTCAACACCAATTAAAGCAAACCAACAAATGACAACCGCCCAATCCAACTCCAAGCCTTGCAGTGCAAACAATAGACGAGAACTACATATCGCAGATATGTACGCACAAGCCAACAAGCCTTCATTGCTTCAATTCCTTCTCCATACATCCCGTACAAAGCACAATAACCTCACCACCCTCCCCCTTATCTCCCCTCTGGCAAGGGAAAATCTGCCCATCATCAAATCCACCCGCGCAATGCCCACATCTAAAGCATTCATCATGCCATTCGCCACCCAGCGCTTGTACATACTGGCCTAAAACCGCCTTTTTGCATCTTTTACATTTCGGGGCTTTCCGTTCTGTGCGTTTGGTTTGACATGGGAGACACCAGGCATATCCATCTTTTTCGATATGCGTCATTCCTTGTTCGAAAGGATCTCCGCACTCGGCGCAGAAGAAATGGCCGTAGTGCCAGTGCTCGCCAAGTGCAACGGCATGTTCACCGATGATGGGGGTTTTGCAATGTTTACAGCTAGGAGCATAAAGTTCATGCCAGTCGAGGTGGCAATAGAAGCGAAGTCTAGCATCTCCATCTTCAGCTTCTGTTTCGCCTTCGGTATCGGGAATTGTTTCTCCTTGAGCACGACATTTGATACGATCGAGACGTGCCGCGCGAGAGACGGCGGGTTCGGGACTAATTTCGAGGTCTTGTAGAGCGGTACCACATGTGAAACAGATAAAGCATTCCGGGTGGAATCGCTCTGGTACACCACGAAGGGCTACTACTTTCCCTTCGATTGGCAATTGACATTGGTGACAGGTTGCGGTGGCTCGACTGCCTACTGCAGGAGACCAGTGGCCTCGAGGAACTGGCGTTGGGGCTTGTCGTGGGTTGGGACGTTTTGAGGCAGTCTTCGGATCTGGAAGTGGCCTTGCTTTTGATTGCGAAGATCCGGGCTCCGAAATATTCGGAATCTGGGGCGTGGAATGAAGTACTGGCTCGTTGATAGTTGGAATATTTATCGTTGGTACAGCAGGTGCTGGCTTGGTTGGGCTTGATCCTGGTTCAATGATTGTGGGAACTCTAGGAGCCGAAACGGAAATTTGAGGGGTATCAGGAAAGTTTATAGAAGGGACTGACGGTGTTGATTCCGAGACACTTATACTGGGCATGGGAAAGCTCACTTGGGACGGTGCACTAGAATCCTTGTTTGATGCGATAGGCGTCGGACCTGGTCGAATAGGCAAGCTTTGCTTTTGGCTATTTGGCCGGCGATCGAACGGCGATCTTCTTCGCACTTCTGGCTTGTCATCAGCCTCATGCGGCCTCCAATTCTTATCAAAGCTTACAATTGGTCGGCCAGGTTTATCACTGACTGCAGTGGGTGTGGGGAGTTTTGGACTGCGATCACCAAGACGCATACTTGTCGCTTGACGTATATCATCACCTCGGATCTCAACACCGTTCTTCTTTGGGGCCTCTTCCTTCTCAGGTTCTGGTTCAATTGCTGGAGACGAGTTTGCAGTATATGCAGGATTTCTTGACTGCGTTGGCGGGTTTTTGTAGATCTCGGTGCTGGACAGCTTCTTGGTAATTTCAGGGGGAGTACTATTCGATCGTGGAGCATCGCCCGAAAATTGAACACGATTAAGAGGGTTTCGGGGTTTGGATTGTAAAGCAGAGGCTGGGCGACCTTCTGAAGGCCGGCCACGATCGAGATTGTTCATGGTCTCTTGTTCGGGCTCTTCCCATATTTGTTCACCAGTAAAGCTGCCTTTGACCTCGCCACTAATATTTCTCTTACCACCACCAGCCATTCTTCTCCCGTTCTGTAGTTGGCTAACACCGCCATAGGTTTTGGTAGTTGCTTGTTGAGATATTGCATCTCGACTAGTATCTAGAGATCCGCGCAACGTTCGTTCTGGGGTAACACCGCCCTTGATGGGGAAAGAAGGCTTTGAATTTCCAGACCTTTCTTGTCCTTCCTCATCGCTACCAATTGAGTCCACCTTTGGGGCCGTATCCCTAGCAAGTCCTGTAGCCATAACAATGCCTCCGTTTTTTCCAATGCTCTGGGTCCTCGCATGTGCGTAACTGTTCTTCCTCAAATGGTCTTTATATCGATATGGCGCGTCGGGGTTCTTGAACTTCTCCCCAAACTGATGCGTATAGACTAATTCGGATGCTTCTTCTTGCGCGGCATTATGGATCCGCACTTCGTCACCGTGCTCTTCTTTTATATCCATATCCTCCATGGCCTCCCGTAAAGACACTGCTTCCTCCTTTTCCATCCATCTTAGACCTCTTTCAATATATGTAGCACTGGGTACGACTTCAGAGGGTTTGAGAGGAGGTTCTTGAGGCGGTGGCTGAACAAGTGATCGACCTGCCCTAGAGCTCACTGAGGAATATGATCCGATTGAGTTTCGGGTTGGTCTGCGAGAAAATGAACTTCCGGGCCGCGGTGGAAGATCTACAGAAGCTGGGGTCTCTGGTGGGGCATTGGTGGTCTGCGGGGTGCTAGCTGATGATGCTAACGATACTGAATTCGATTGTCGGCGTTTACTTGGAGGGGGAGGTCTTGCACCACTCGGTCGTGCGACACGATTGTTTCTTAAATCTGCTAAGTAGTCCGCTGTTGGTTGTCAGTAAGAGCCAAGACGGTTTTCAAGCCCCCTGATATCTTCATATAGCTGCAAACAAAAGAGAAATCGATCTCACCAAATTGATCATTTGACATATATGATGGTCCAGGCGGAGTGACTTGGCGGTCGGTTCGTTCTTTGGATTTTCCTCTCAGTAACATTGTAAATACTGAGGATTACTGTAGTTGATTTGATCCCAATAAGAATTAGTTATGGTTTTGCAAAGATGTCTTAAATATCGATGACAACGTAGCTGGGATTCGTTGGCGGTGAGTTGCGTCAGAGGTTGTGCCCAATCTGAAAGATCCAAGTATCTGTGATAGTAGTCAAAGTGTGATTCGTGCGTATTGGTTCATAAATCGAGGGGTGGTAGGTAGTTGTGAGGGAGTGAAGGGGTGAGAGAGTAGAAGTCTGAAGAAATTATTGAAAAAGGAAGTAAAGAAAGGCAATGTTTGTCAACAAAAGAGATTATAAAGAGAGACAAGTAATAGGTACTAATAACAAATACTTCTTATAGGTCTGAGATGTTATGAATTTGATTGTAACAGGGAGTGAATCAAGTTATCACTTTGTAAGTTAGACTTCTCTCATTGATTTCTACTGTATAAAAATACAAATGGGTATTTCTGTTGCTTTATCGTTTATCGCGCCGAAGTCAACAATTGGCTGAAGGCTAAACTGTCGTCGTAGCAACAACAACCTTCGTATATTATAGATATTCTTCATAACCAAACATTTATAAATTGATTTCTTTTGATTCATGAAAACTTTAAAGCATTTGAAGTTTTAATCGATCTCTTTCTTTCCATCCTTATCCTTTAGATCCAATTAATGGAGATTTTGTGACTGTAACTGCATAATTTGAAAACGCATCAGAGAACAACGAATGTATGGGAATGAATATATGCTTGCTTAGTAATACCTGAGGGCGAAAAGGGATAAAGATAATGTTATGTAAGCGAGGTAAGGAAATCTGACTAACAAGCAGGTTTCTCCTTGCTTTCTAACCCTCCTCTCTCTCTCCTCTCTTCCATCTCCGTCCACCAAGAAAACAACATCCATAAGGATTTTACACCTCCTTCACCTCTTGAACTCATACACGGCTTGGACAAACACAATACAGTGGTATCCACAAATGTCTACTCCAGTATCTTGCCAAGTAAATCGATTGGTGCTGAACGATATGATCGGATCTTCGGCTTCAATTACTCCTTATGCAGATCCTTTATTCCCGATACGATACTACAGACTCCCGTCCTCGAGTTTTCACTTTGCGGGGAGGAAAAGCTTAGGTGCGCCGGGACGGTAAGCAGAAGATTGCGCTATTGAATTCCGACATCTTCCCTGATATCTATCTCCATGGACTTGCTTCTTTGATTCGCAAGTTTCTCTTCAATTCTCCGAGTATATATTATCTATACTCTTTTTCATATCGTTCTTCGTTCTTTGCCTTGTGTATTTGATCTTAAAGGATACTCCTTTCTATATGATATGAGTGTTAGGAACAATGCGCGGTCAGAAAGACGAGCTGACGACAGAGAAATCGACAATGTGAATGTGGTGGGGGACGCAGACGAAGATATTAGGGGTCCATTGAATAAGACCATCTTGGCGGAAGACCAATGGCATTCCACCAGTGACCCTGAACGAATAGACGACTTGAAGCCGGTTGATGTACCTCCAGATGGCGGATATGGCTGGGTTTGTGTCGCATGCGTATTCTTGATCAATGGGCATACTTGGGGAGTGAACAGTGTCAGTAAAGACGCTTTCTAACATTTTCTATGCTAACAAAATCTGCCAGTCCTATGGGATCTTCCTCGCCCATTACTTATCGAGCAATACTTTTCCCGGCGCAACCTCACTTGAATATGCATTTGTTGGTGGCCTATCGATTTCTTTGGCACTCTTCACAGCACCTGTAGCTACGATATGTACACGCAAATTTGGAACACAAATCACTCTAGCTATCGGTATTCTACTCGAAACAGCGGGACTTCTAGGGGCTTCTTTTGCGTATGAAATATGGCATTTGTTTCTATCACAAGGTGTTGCTTTTGGATTTGGTATGGGCTTCCTCTTCGTAGGTAGTGTTGGAGTTGTCCCACAATGGTTCTCGAGGCGCCGATCTTTAGCCAACGGTATTGCAACAGCTGGAAGCGGAATTGGAGGGTTGATATATTCCTTGGGAACAAACGCAATGATACAGTCTATTGGTCTAGGTTGGGCTTTTCGAGTATTGGCTATCGTGGCTTTTGGAGTAAATACCATTTGCACAATTCTGGTTAGGGATCGAAACAAAGCTGTTGGATCTGTTCAAATAGCTTTTGACGTGCGATTGTTCAAGAAACCTGAATTTCTACTTCTTCTTGGCTGGGGATTCTTCAGTATGCTTGCGTATATTGTTCTTCTCTTCTCCTTGCCAAATTACGCGAGGAGTATAGGTCTCTCAGCCAAGCAAGGTTCAGTTATTGGTGCTCTCCTAAATCTCGGACAAGGTCTTGGCCGACCGTTCGTCGGGGCTTTCTCTGATGTCACTGGCCGCATTAATATGGCTGGAACGTGTACCTTCCTGGCAGGATTCTTCTGTCTCGTCATCTGGATCTTTGCCAAATCTTACGGCGTTCTTATCTTCTTTGCTCTCATCGTTGGAACCGTCTCGGGTACATTTTGGGCTACGATTGCACCAGTTGGCGCAGAAGTAGTTGGTATCAAGGTTCTTCCTTCGGCTCTATCTATCACTTGGCTAGTCCTCGTAATCCCTTGTACATTTTCCGAACCAATTGGATTAAAGTTGAGAGCTGCAACTGGAGATATATACCTACACGCACAGATCTATGCAGGATGTATGTATATAGCAGGTGCGATCTGTATGTGGGGTGTGAGGGCTTGGAAAATCAAGGAATTGGATAGTTTGAGAGAAGGTGAAAGGGAGATGAAAATAAGGGATAATGATGAGGTGAAGAGGGAGAGGATCAGAGAGTGTGGTGAGGAGAAAGAGGTTGAAGATGGCGTGGGTGTGCCGGTGAGGAGACAGTTGACGAGAACGGAAAGTGTGAAGAGGGCTACAAAGGGGTTGTGGGTTCTACAGAAAGTGTAGACTATGAAGCTATAGTATCATTGATGATAGATAGTAGAAACAAGAATGTATATATATTCATCTTAAAGTTGGCTGGAATATCAAGTCCATTTCATATATTGAATTCGTGTGGAATATTAATCTCTCTGAAATGTTGATCTTGTATAAAACATTAAGCCCACCTTGAACATTGCTATCATCCAAACCATTACTCCGTAAATACACATGAAACAAAACATCAAAAGATAAATACCAGTATAGTGAGTAGTTCGAACCAATCCGGGAAACTAACAGTATGAAAACCAATAGTTTAGTTTTCAAAACCAACAATCCGAATCAAACCACACATATCACACCAAATCAAATCACACCGAACCGACTGCCAGCCAGCCAGCCAATTGACCATTTCAAAAACTCTCAAGTACAGTACAAACTCGAACTGAACTGAACTGAATTTCAAGTTGAACACTGCTGCTAGTTAGTTTGGGAACTTGCTCAAAAATTCAAAGTTTAAAGTCATTATAATGGTTTAGTTAAATTAGTTGAAACTGGTAGTTTGGAATTATATATCGGTATATTACTCGAGTATAAACCTCACTACTCGTATATATATAAAAAAACGAACCAGCCAGCGGTTGTTAAATTTGAAAAAATCTATTTGAATGAATTAAAGTTGACGGTTTAGTCAGTGTACTACCTAGTAGTTTAACTGGTTGACTGGTTAACTTTTGGGTCTTGACTCTTGAGTCGGAGTCGGACTAGACTGATAAGTGCTGTGAGCTATGGTATGCATAATACATCTGCAAGATAGATCTGGGTCTGGTTAATTCTGCATGCAATATATACTATTTTGTATGATGGCTGTATACTTGAGAGCTCTTACACTTCTCTATACCAATCTTACCAGTCGATACATCCATCCCATTGTAAACCCTCCCTGTGTTTAGATAATTCTATTGAATCTATTCTCTGCATCTCATGAGTATATACCATATAAATTTATAAATCCCTTACATCCCTTCAGTTACCTCCCCTCCCCTCATCCACATCCAAATCATTCATTCATTCATTCCTCTGTGCTGTCCCTCGCTAAATACAACGTGTGCCATGCCACCATGATATACCATACCATCCCACACCATACCAACTCATCCTCTATCCTTGGGTTGTTGAGGAGACGAGTCTTTATGGTTGGAATTAGAAAAGGATTGGGTTGGTGGGTTATGGGTATGGGTATTGGTAGAGTTTGTATAGCGAGAGTCTGGAATGGTGGTAGGAGTGATTCACTTCTTGATTGTAGGAGGTGGGTTCGAGGAGGGTGGAAGATTAAGGGGGGTTGATGGTTCTTCACGACTTGTAATATTTGTAATGTGAGAGGTGGCTGTTGGATCTAGTTCCGCTGGAGTAAGAGACTTTGAATTGAAGTCGTCTGGTAGATCAGAGCTCTTATTTATATCAACTGAGTTTGCGTACATTTTGATATTGTTAAATGTATATTTCGAGAATTCGTTGCTGTCTTTGATCACCATGCAAAGCGCACTGCTCCAATCTTGTACTTAATTTCGAGATTTCATTTCATGAGTGGTCTCTGTTACTCCTATTGAGGTTGTAGCCTAATTTTTAAGATCTGTGCAGCTTGCCGCCTGGAAACAACCTTGTAACACAAGGGTATAAATTGATACGGACTTTGTATGCAATATTGATGGAAGAGAAATATGGAGAGGTCATGGTAAAACGAGAAGAATATTGGTATTGCTCAAGCTAAAGGATGATTTGTAGCGAATGCACTCGAGTAATGTGATATCTAGTAGTAATTAGAAGAGTATCAAAAACATAAGAACGAACGAAAGAAGAAAGAAGAATCCATGAGAGGGGAAGTAATACCTCCTTTACTTTATAAAAATATCGGAGATTTGGTGATTAACGGTATTCTTGTATCTCCCCAATCTTATGTGGTGGTAACTTGTGTGGTGTATAGCATAACAATCATTGATCGATGGATCATCTCAATATTTGAGTCTAAAACGGACAACCCGATAATGATATTGGTAAATCAGTGAGAAGAGCCATTTCAATGAATAAAACTATCTCGGTATCTGGGGATATCTTATAGTAACTACTCTAAAGCCATTTCAATGTTCGAGACCACTAGGTATCTCAGTATTTCAGTATTTCAGTATTTCATACCATCTCAACATCCAAGTCCAGACAACCCAAAAACCTAGAAACTGTCCTGGCGAAATTTGTTTGCAACAAGAATCCAAGCTCGAATTGGACATTGGACATTGATCATTAGATATGCAGTTTTGTGTCTTTCGATGTTGATATTACATCCCTCAACATAAAAGATAGCACACGAATATACCTAAGAGCAAGATCGATACTGTACGTACTGTAGAGGCAGGCATACATACTGTACATATACCCGAGACATCTACTCGTACAGTAGTAGCAATTAATTTCCGAAGATTTCATGTCAATAATACTGCAGAAAGAATCGAATGGAAGCCAGACTCGCGTCCAGATGCCTTTGTAAATAAACCATTATTATATACTCGAATACTGTACAAGAGAGATAGATACATAAGGTTACCACCATGTAGCCGCCTCATTCAGTTTAAGCATACTATACAGTACTATACTCCTTCCATACTGTAATCCCCCCAACTCGAGTACTCGGCAACAGCTTACAAGATATACTGTCGTCAGTCACACATGAATTTTCAAGGATGGCTACTCGGTCATCTCAAAGCTGGGGATTTCGTGTTACTGTATAGTGTATGGTGGACAGTGGTGTACACGACAGATTATGAATAATGTCTGTTTTGTATAGAGGTATGCGATTTGCCACTTGCTATACTTGAATGGTTATCTCGTCACCAATGAAGATAATTCTATTAATGAATCAAACGATGGAATCTATAGTACATATCGGAAATTTTATGATAAGGAAATGCCGGGTTATCCATCGTTGATGCTTTTTCTTGGCGTAAGACTGGATGAGGGGGTGAGACTCCGTGAGAATGAGAATTTGGAGAAAGAAAAGCTTGATTGAGCCTGATTTAGAATTAATTCTCTCATCATAAACGGCGATCATACGAAGATCAAGTTGTTCGAGGCTTCGAGGCTTTAAGGCTTGAGCGTTGGCTGGTTGTCTCTTTGAATAGTCGTGATTCGTGATTAATTTGATGATATTATATCGTATTGTATTAATCGAGGGGCTAGGTTGGTTTTGATATGTCGCATTTCAATATATAAAGCATGTGTCTGCGCCTCCTTCATTGCTGCAGTACAACTTCAATATATGCATTTAGGGATAATTAATATCTCAGCCGGTTATTATTACCTATCAAGGAGGCTAGAAACAATGCGATATGATAAATAATTCATAATCCAAGAGAAAAGACAATAAAGAAAAAGAAAATGAATCATAAAAAAGGCCAGATTGTGTAATTTTTCCTTTGTTTATTTTGAGTTCATTCGGCGCGTCAGTGTGGCGCTACCGAGATGGTTGGAATGAATAAGGGCCTGTTTGGCTCGGTAGTGTACGCAAAAGTATACCACCAAAATAATTTTTCACACTCCATTATATAAATAAAAATGTACATTTTTCAAAAATCTGTTTGGCTCAAATTGAAGAGTATATACAAATCCATACACTTATAAATATATTATATAAATAAAATATATTTGAAAAAGCTATATTTGAAAAATGTAAAAATTGAAGAATATATACTTTCGCTAATCTATTTATTCTAGTTCTCTAATATTATCTAATAATTTGATTTAATCTTATAATTATAATATCGCTATTATTGAAAAAAGAGAAAAAAAAAATCGACAAATAAAAAGTTTCTGATAATGATTTACAATATTATCTATAATTGTAAGCTGCTATTTATTATAATTATAACTTTATAAATATTTATAATATATTTCAAAATATCTAAATGCTTAATAGATATACGAATTAGTCTTT